AAATGTAGTGGTTACTGATGTTGAAAATTCAGCTGAAGATAGTGAAACTGATCCATATTATAACTTGAGCAATAAGGATGATGAGGAAGATGATGAAGTTGACTTAGATGAGTTGGATTTAGGTCAGGATGTTGTTGTTGATTGGCAGACAATTCTCCCTACAGTTACAATAGAAAAACCTTCAAGGATGAATGACATTTCTAATAATGAAAGTTGTGATTCATATGTGCTTCATACTCCACCGTATAGTGATGCCGAAGTTGATATGGAAAGGTTTCCAACTTTTAAAGGATCTACAAAACTTGAACTAGGGGTGATGTTCAATTATAAAGAGCAAATAAGAAATGTCATTAAGGAGTTTTCTATGGAGAATAATAAGAGTCTCAAAATTATGAAAAATGACAAGAAGAGAGTGGTTGCAAAATGTATTGTAGGTTGTCCATTTCATATTAGGTTTAGCATGAGGTCTACCAACCAATTTTGGCGAATTGTTAGATTCACTAATCGACATACTTGTCATTAGACAACCAAGAATAGACAAGCGATAACGCAATGGTTAGCTCACAAATTTGTGGGTACCCTAAGACACACTCCTAAAATGAAGAATAAAGGACTGATTGTAGAAGGTGTTAGGACATGGGGTGTGAAGCTGTCAAGCTATCAAGCTTATAGAGCCAAGAGAAAAGCTATAGAGTTAATTCAAGGTGTCGGTCGATATCAGTTCAACCATCTTAGGAGTTATGCCGAGGAGTTGTTAAAGTTAAATCTAAATTCTACTGTTAAAATCAAGTATGTTGATTCAGATGTTGGACTTGTGTTTGAAAGAATATATGTATATTTAGAGGCTTGTAAGGCAGCGTTTGCAACCACTTGTAGGCCTTTAATTGGGTTGGACACTTGTTTTTTGAAAGGGGACTTTGGAGGTCAGTTAATAGGTCTTGTTGGTAAGGATGGAAATAGAAGAATTTATCCAATCGCTTATGCCATAGTGGAAGCTGAAACAAAGGACTCTTGGGATACTCGTGAAGGAAGCTTTATGGAGGGAAGCTAGGGCCACAACAATACCTGGACAGGAAAGAACAATGAACTTGATGAAAGATCTCAATGAGAATGCTTGGAAAGACATGATGTTTGTACCTGCTGCATGTTAGAGTAGATCGCACTTCAAGACAAACACACAGTACGATTTGCAAGTCAACAGCATGTGTGAAGCTTTTAATCATGCAATATTGGAATATAGAGACATGTCAATCATTTCACTGCTAGATGGAATCAAACATTACATAACAGTTAGAATTTTAACTCAAAAGGAGAAATTACATAGGTACGATGGTGTAATAAGTCCTAACGTTCAAAAAGTATTGGAAAAAACAAAGAGGGCAGCAAGAAGAGTGGATTGCAACATGGCATTCCGATGATGACTTTGCTATTTTTGGGGTTTTAAACGGTATTGAGATGTATTCTATTAACTTTCTGCAAAAGAAGTGTGGTTGTAGGAAGTGGGATTTAACCAGAATCCCATGTTGCCATGTTATCGCTTGCATATGGTATGCCAAGAAAGAGCCCGAATATTTTGTTTCATCGTTCTATAGGTAACACTACTTCTCCTATTATGTTAATTAGTCATAATATGTTAACTTACTAATGCATAATTTTTATGTGAATAAGAAGTTTACTGTGTTGGCGACTTATAGCCATATCATTATGCCAACTAATGACCCACAACTATGGCCTGCTAATGTTACTAACTTAATCAACCCTCCAGGAATGAGGAGGTCTATCAGTCGTCCAAAGAAGAATCACAACAAGGCAAATGATGAACCAAGAACAAGAAATACACTGGCTAGAAGTCTTCAAACTGTCAAGTGCAAGAAATATGGTAGCTTTGTCCATAACAAGCGAACGTGTAAAGGGAAGAGAGCAGCAGAGAGAGCGATTCCTAAAGGTGGAAATAAAAAGGCGGAAAAAAAGGTTGACAAAGTGGCTGGACAAACGGTAATTGCAGGAGGATCACAAGCACCACCATCAACCCAAGAATAGTCACTCTGTTATGTTGCGGTTTGTTTTATGTTGTTTGTTATCTCTTTTGTAATGACTAAAACATTTAGGGTCATGTTTAAGTTGTTGTCCTGGTAGTTTGTTATGTTGTTAAACTGTTATGTTTTGAAAATTATGGTTACAAGTTATTACATGTTTGTGAAATAGTTTAAGCTTTTAGACACAATTGCAGATAAAGTAACAATTTGGGCAAACTTATGACAATAGACACAATTGCAGATAAAGTAACGATTTAGGCAAACTTATGGCAATAGACACAATTACAGATAAAGTAACGATTTGGGCAAACTTATGACAATAAACATAATTGCAGATAAAGTAACGATTTGGGCAAACTTATGGCAATAGACACAATTGCAGATAGACACAAATGCAGATAAAGTAACGATTAAAGTACATAGGCTTAGAGAAAACTTATGTCAATTTTCATTTCATAAATAATAACAATTCAAGTACAAGAAAAGAAATTACATCAGATCTAATTTCAGTTAATACTCTACAACCAACTTCATTTGAGTGCATGTGTTAGAACCAATGCAAACACAATTAATAACACAAACACCATACATAAACCAACAAAATAAGACATCAACTTAATCTTCATCTTAAGCAAATCTTCACTATTCTTGGTGTCCCTAAGTAAAGCAGCAATCTCGTCATTCTTGTCCTTCAAAGTTTTAATCAAATATTTTGCTTTGTCGCTCATGTCTTCATCAAATCATTGAAAGTTATAACATTTTTTATTCAACATCTTGAAGTTACCACAACCATGAAATCTTCTTCCTTGATTCTCGTAGGTCCATGACGTCATCAATGGAGACTCAAGCCCACACCAACATCTACTCTCTCTTCTTCTTGCATCAGACTGATTTGTTTAGGCAAATGAAAAATTTGTTTCAGAAATACCTGTTGGGTGAAAGAGACGTTGAAGGAGTTCTAAATACTTGATTATTTGGAGACTGAAGAAAAGGACGATGAGAAGAAACAGTGGATGAAGAATTTATGAGACCGGAGAAGAAGACAATGGGAAGAAGGAGGCACTGCTATAAGGATAGATGTGGGGTGATTAGGGTTTATGTACATTTCAATATTAATATAATATTATTTGTATAAAATAAATATTAAAATAATTATGAAATTAAAAAAAATGGAATTATATTAATATTTATATTACATGGAACTGACACATCATCAAAAATAATATTATGTCATATAAAAATGCACCTAAATTTGAAGGAGACCAAAATTCACGTTAAAACTTTAAAAAAATAATAAATTTAAAAGTGAGAGGACTAAAATTAAAAAAAATAGGCTTAAATGCAGTTTTGACCCCCTTAGTTTAAGGTTTTTGGAGTTTCGATCCCCCTAGTTTAAAAGCCAGGTTTCTAGTCCCCAAAGTTTTCAAATTTGGGATTTTTGAAGCCCCCTCCATCTGGCTGCCCAAAAAGTGACATGGCACAGGGAGAGTAATGCCACGTCTTTTTTTTTTTTTTTTTTTTTTAAATTTTTTTTTTCCTTTCGAACCTTAATTTTGCCCATGAGGAGAAGAAAAAAAAATTTTTTTTAAAAAATTTAAAAAAAAAATAATAATAATACGTGACATTACTCTCCCTGTGTCATGTCACTTTTTGGGCAGCCAGATGGAGGGGCTTCAAAAATCCCAAATTTGAAAACTTTGAAGACTAGAAACCTGACTTTTAAACTAGGGGGATCGAAACTCCAAAAACCTTAAATTAGGGGGTCAAAACTGCATTTAAGCCAAAAAAATATTGAATAAAGGAACGAAAATTACAATTAAGCTAAAAATATTAAAAGCATGTGAACCAATAAAAAGGGGGTAAAGTGTAAAAGTTGTTAGCACGTGAATAGCGAGAGGGCATGGAATGAAAGCCGTTCAATTTATTGTGGTGGTTGTTATTCACACAATAACATTGCATTAAATCATTTCATATATGAAAAAATTATAATAAAAAATATAATGAGAATTATTATTATTATTATTATTATTATTATTATTATTATTATTATTATTATTATTATTATTATTATTATTATTATTATTATTATTATTATTATTATTATTATTATTATTATTATTATTATTATTATTATTTTATTTAGAGTCGTAAGATTAAAAAAGAATTTTTAGCTTTTAGTTTTTAGTTTTTCAAAATTTATATTAATGAAACAATTATGTTTAATAAATCGATTTTAGTTTTTAATCTATAATTTTTTTTTATAGTTTTTTTAACTTTTTTTTTAAGTTATTTGAAGTAACTTCTGAATTTATAATTTTTAGTTTGTGAATTTTTCTTTTATTTATATTGTTATTATTTTAACAAAAATAAATTATTGTCTTTATTAATTAAAATAATTTTTTATATTATTTTATATCTATCAGTTAATAATACAGTTAATTTATCAAACATTTATGTTAGTTTATCTCTTATTCAGTACCTATAAGTTATCAATTATTAAATATCAATTATAAACTCACAACTATCACTTATCAAATTATCATTTCTGTTGCAACAATCAACTGAGTTATATTAATATAATTATTTTTTTTATATAAAAAGTAATAATGGTTCAATTTTTTTTCATATTTATTGATAGTTAATATACTTTAATTATTAAAAACAAAATTCAGATCTAGACCAAAAAAAAATAATAATAATAAAAAAAAATTTAGAAGTGAATCATATGAAGAAGCGACAACACACATACATAACATAACTACCTACCAGTCAGCCCTAGTTTGTTTGTTTTGCTTCCTGTTAGTTACTTCCCATACTAAGGAAAGGAAAGTTGTTCCTTCCTCATCAAATACCCCCTTCTTTCATTACTTTTCTTAACTCTACTCTTCACATTCTATTCTATTCTATTATACGCATACTACGCCAACCACCATCTTTATTATTCTAGACATACACAAAAGAAAAATGAAAATGGGAGGTGCTATTATTGTTATGGTGGTGGTGGTGGTGGTGACAGCTATGAATATGACCATGGATGTGGTAGCAGCAGCTGAGGTGAACCATGTTGTAGGAGGAGATCATGGTTGGGATCCCACCTCCGACATCCTATATTGGTCTTCCGACAGAATCTTCAGGGTCGGAGACCAAATCTGTATGTTTTTTTCTTCTTTTTCCTATATTGTCCCTTTTTATGTTTCATCACTCCTTTCATAAAACTGATTATATATTTTCTTTGATTTTATTTTCCGCGTAGGGTTTACATACTCTGCAGCGCAGGGATTAATTGCGGAGCTGAAAAGCAGAGAAGAATACGAATCGTGTAACATGAGTAACCCTATCATGATGTACACGGAAGGTTTGCATACAGTGCCACTTGACAAGGAAGGAATGAGATACTTTGTGAGTACTGATTCTCAAAACTGTAAGAATGGGCTTAAGCTTCATGTTGAGGTTCAGCCCAAGGATTCGGGCTCACGGGCCTTGCCTGTCGCTCAAACTGTTGTTGCTCATGGGCCTGCTGCTCCTTCAAGTTCGGCCCGTTATGGTTATAATGTGATTCTTTCACTATTGTTATGTGTTATTGTAGTAGTTGCTTATTGATGTAAGGTTGTGTTTCGTTAGAATAATTACTTGTATGTGTTATTGCATATTTGAATTGACGGAATATTTATGAGTCTTTTCATAACTAAGATTAACATATCTAAAAAATAAAAAATAAAAAGTGTGTTTGGATTGATTATGCGATTTGTTGTAAATTTCGAGTTTTTATTTTATAATATTTTACATAGATTGTTTTTCATAAATAGTTTGTCTTGTTTTTTGTGGTCATTGTGCACTACCTGATTTTTTTAATATTAAATCTTGATATTTTTGAAATATTGTAATGAACCCTTTTTTATTTGAATTTTTTTAAAAAAAAATAGATAGAATGTTTTATTTATTTAAAGGGGTAATTTAATATTTGTTATATTTGGAATATTCTCTCTTAGGGTTTATGTGGCATTCTTATCTTTGCTATCTTTGTGTATAAATAGGTATATTAGATTTCATTAAATAATTCAATCCTTTTTCAATCATTTGTAGCAGCTTTTTATCATTCATCATTTTTTCTCTTCTTTCTCAATTTCATCACCTTGCACCAACAAATTGGTATCAGAGCTCTTGGTTCTTCTGAAATTCTGGGAAACACGAGTGAAAGTGAGTTATGTGTTTGATTTATGTTGAATCTTCAACAAAATCTGAATAGAATCATACTGATTATGTGGGTTTGGGAAACACTGAGTGAGATCTGAGATTTGTGCAAGGTTTAAGATGAGTGGAGGCAGTAGTTTGAACACTAAACTCCTAGTTTTTGATGGCATAAGCTGGAATAGATAGATGATATAAATGCGTGTACTGTTTGGTGCTCAAGATGTTCTGGATCTTGTTACCAATGGTTATGTTCCAGTTGCAGCAGATGCTACTGAAGAACGAAGATATTTAGAAAGAGCTACAAGGAAGAGGGATCAGAAAGCTCGGATCTATATCCATCAGTGTGTAGATGAAAGTGTGTTTGAGAAGATTGTTGATTCGACGACGTCGAAAGAGGCATGGGATATACTATTCAGATGTTACGGTGGTGACACATCAGTGAAGAAGGTGAAGCTTCAGTTCCTGCGAAAGCAATATGAGAATCTAAACATGAAGAACAATGAGAAAGTTTCTGAGTACATCTCCAGAATGATTCTGATCACTAATAAGATGAAAGCTTGTGGAGAAACACTTTCTGAACAGATAATCATAGAGAAGATTCTGAGGTCGCTTACTCCTCAGTTTGATTACATTGTTGTTTCTATTGAACATTCTAAAAATTTGTAAACCATGAGAATAGAAGAGTTGCAAAGCAGTCTAGAAGCACAGAAGTTGTGTCTGACTGAAAGAACTTCTGAGAGGGAAGTTGAGCAAGCTCTGAAGACTTCTTTCGTCAAGAAGGACCAGAAGTAGAGTAGACGTGGTGATAAATTCCAAAAGTCGGAAACCTCAACTTCTGATGAAAAGAAATATCATAAGGGAAAGGAAAGGTATGACAAGAAGAAGGTTCAATGTTACTGTTGTAAACAGTTTGGCCATTTTTCCAGAGATTGTAGAAACAGAGGAAGGAAATCAGAAGAAGCAAATATAGTCAGAGGAGATTCTGATGATGAACATGTGCTACTGATGGCTTCTGATTCTGATGGAAAGTGTTCAGAAGATTTGTGGTATATGGACACTGGATGTTCAAACCACTTGACTGGGAACAAACAATGGGTGATAGACTTTGACTCCAGAAGGAGAACAAAAATCATATGTGCTGATGATAAGTATCTTAATGCAGAAGGTATGAGAAATGTCAGAGTCAAAGTGAAGAATGAAAAAAACATTCTGATCAAAGATGTTTGGTATGTTCCTGGAATTAAAAGCAATCTGATGAGTGTGGGTCAGCTCATTGAGAAAGGGTTCTCAGTTGTTATGAAGGACAACCTCTTGATGTTATATGATTTCAATCAGAAGTTGATTATGAAATCTGAGCAGGGAAGCAACAAAACATTCAAGGTGAATGTAGAAACAGCTGAAGCAGAGTGTCTTAGTGCAGAAGGCGCTGAAGGTGACAGTAAGTTATGGCATAAGAGGTTGGGGCACTTGAACTATAGAAGCATATGGCATTTAAGTTCTAAGAAGCTTGTATATGACATTTCTAAGATTATGAAGCCTGAGAAGTCATGTGAGATATGCATGAAAGGTAAGCAACCCGGATTGCCATTTGCATCAGAACTAGCCCTCAGAGCGAAGCATGCTTTGGGAGTAGTATATTCTGATGTGTGTGGACCATTTCCAGTACCTTCACTTAGAGGAAACAAATATTTTGTGTCTTTTGTGGATGAGTTCACAAGAATGACATGGGTAACACTCATCAAGTTCAAGCATGAAGTGTTTACTGAGTTTCAGAAGTTCAAGGTGAAGGCTGAGAAGCAGAGTGGTCAGAAGTTGAAGATTCTGAGACAGATGGTAGAGGTGAGTATAACTCTACAGAGTTCCAGAAGTTCTGTGAGGAGAATGGAATAGAACATGAGGTTACTACTCCATATACTCCTTAGCACAATGGTCTTACTGAAAGAAGAAACAGAACATTGCTTGATATGACCAGAAGTATGCTGAAAGAGAAAAAACTACCTCATATTTTATAGGGAGAAGTTGTTGCCACATCAGCATGTGTTCTGAATAGATGTCCAATGAAGAAGGTGAAGGAAATTGTTCTTTTAGAAAAGTGGATTGGAGATAAGCAAAGTGTTAGCCATCTGAGGGTGTTTGGTTCTGTATGTTACAAACACGTTCAAGAAGCTAGAAGGCGGAAACTGGATGATAGAAGCAAAGTAATGTTACTGGTGGGGTACCACAGTACAGGTGCCTATAAGCTTTATTGTCCAGAAACCAACAAAGTTGAAATCAGCGGAGATGTTATTGTGAAAGAGTCAGAAACATGGGATTGGAACAAGTCTCAATCAGATTCTGGTGTAGCGCCAACACCAGAGTTAGTTTCTGAAGATTCTTCAGAAAGTTCTGAAGATTCTTCATAAAGTTCTGAAGACGAGTCAGAGTCAGAAGATGAATCTAATTCTGAAGACTCTAAAGATGAGTCAGAGTCTCAGGGAGATTCTGATAGTGGATCTGATTCTGATCCAGATTCTGATGATGATCCAGAATCTGGTGGTGATTATATTTCTGGAAGGGAAAACTCTAAAGACATAGGGTCTGGAGGACAAGCTTCCAGAAGTAACTCTGAAGGTGGTAATTCTGAAGGAAGTATTTCTGGACAAGGTCCAGAAGCTAGCACTGTTCCAAGTTCTGGAGAAGCTTCAGAACAAGTTCAGAGGCCACAGAGAATCAGACAAATACCAAGTAGGTTTGTAGATTTTAGCATGTTGTATGACACTGAAGTAGATTCTGAATGAGAAGTCGTTCAGTGTGCCATGTTAGTAGATTCTGAACCAGTAGGTATTGAAGAAGCTCTCAAGAAGAAAGTATGGTTGAATGCCATGAAGGAAGAACTTGAGGCTATTGAAAGAAACAAAACTTGGAAGTTGACAAAGCTTCCAAAAAAGAAGAAAGCCATCAGTGTCAGGTGGGTTTTCAAGGTGAAGCTTAAGCCAGATGGATCAATTGGAAAACACAAAGCGAGACTAGTGGCTAGAGGTTTCCTTCAGAAATCTGGGCTAGATTACTTTGAGGTGTTTGCGCTCGTAGCTAGACATGAAACAATCAGACTGGTGATTGCTTTAGCTGCAAACAGAAATTAGCCTTTGATATATCTGGATGTGAAGTCTGCATTTCTGAATGGTTCGTTACAAGAAGAGGTATATGTGTCACTACCTCTTGGATTTATGAAAAAGAATCGGGAAGGAATGGTATACAAGTTACATAAAGGCTTGTATGGACTGAAACAAGCGCCCAGAGCTTGGAATCTGAAAATTGATTCATTTTTCAAGAGGAAGAAGTTTCAGAAATGTGAGATGGAATATGGCGTGTATGTGCAGCATTCTGGTGACAATATAATTCTGGTGCGTCTATATGTTGATGACATATTGCTAACAGGAAGTTTTCCAGAAGATATAATCAAGTTCAAAGAAGTTTTGATGAATAAATTTGAGATGACAGATCTGGGAAATATGGTATATTTTCTAGGAATGGAGATTCTGTACTCAAAGAAATGTATCATTCTACATCAACTGAAGTATGAACTTGAACTTCTGAAGAGATTTAAGTTGCATAATTGTAAATTTGTTGTGACACCATCAGAAACCAATCATAAATTGGATTCTGATTTTGATGGTGATTCTGTGGATGCTACGACCTTTAAATAGTTGGTTGATTCTCTTAGGTACTTGTGCAATACCAGACCTGACATTTGTTATGCAATTGGAATGGTTAGAAGATTTATGAGTAAACCAAAGTGGTCTCATTACCAAGCCGCTGTCAGGATTCTGAGGTATATCAAGGGAACTCTGAAATATGGAGTGCTATTTCCTTCTGGAAGAAAGACAGAACCAGAATTAGTGAGTTATTCTGATTCTGACTGGTGTGGAGATAGAGTTGAGAGAAGATGTACTTATGGTTACTTGTTCAAGTTTCTAGGAGGTCATATTTCTTGGATTTCCAAGAAACAGCATGTTGTGACTCTATCAACGTGTGAAGCTGAGTATATTGCACGTGTTGTAGCTGCATGTCAAGTTGTTTGGCTTCTGAATCTTCTGGAAGATTTGAAGATTGAGATAGAGAAATCTCTGAAGCTGTTGATTGATAACAAGTCTGCAATCAATCTTGCCAAGAATCCAGTGTTGCATGGAAGAAGCAAGCATATTGAGATGAAATATCATTTTCTGAGAAGTCAATTGCAGAAAGGAGTGTTAGAAGTTATGCACTGTAGCGCCCAGAAACAGCTGGCAGATGTTCTGACGAAGATAATCAAAACAGACAAATTTCTTCATTTGAGGAATGAAATTGGTGTTGTTAGTTTCTGATAGATATTAAATTAAGGGATGGTATTTAAGGGGTAATTTAGTATTTGTTATATTTTGAATATTCTC